TTTCTCATATATGTAGGTTTACTTTTTCGGATATATTTTGTATTATAAATAATACTTTTGTTTAAAAAAAACAATTAAAGAGTCTAAAAAATAAACAAATACTATTCCATTCCAATGTTCTTTTTACAGATTCACAAGTTGTATAGAAAAATAATCAAAACGACTATCAAATAAGTAATATAGGACCAAAGTATGATCTATCTTTATAAAACCTTCGCATGTTGAGTTCGGAAGTGTTTCTCAACAAACTATGTCCATGGTTTTTACTGAAAGAAAAGATGGTAAGTTCTTTGAGTAAGAAAATTTTTTTCAACCGTTTTTATATTTATTTTAGATTACTAACTCTTGCGATAATCTAAAAAAAGTCTTCCTATTTCAAATCGCTTTAGCTTTAAGGCCAAAATATATATCCATAAGTTCTTCAAAGTTTTCCAAATGTGTGGTCCTTATGGACGCGAAAATGATTCCATTTCGGTTCGAGAGTACAACTTCCGTTCGCTAAATGGGAATATGTATGTCTATGGGGCGAATGCTGACTTCATTTCGCTTATGTAAGCACGGCGGCGTGAATCAGACCCACTTTGGGATCTGGGATCCCTTCCACAAGGGCGAAAAAGGGATTCATCCCGAGTTATGGACCACCATCATCATCATCCTTCGACAAGTGCCGAACAAAATGGAGTTTGGGTTATTTTTGGCAACGAAACGAAATTACGACACCCTCCGTCGACTGAAAAACACAACTCTCTCTACCGTTTTGTCTCTTTTTTATGTCTATATGTTTTTTGGGTATGTATTATGTTTACCGTTATGTACTTTCGTTCTTTCGGCGGTTTGAGGTTGAGTTGGGTTGCCATGGCAGTTGAATTTCAAACCCTATTTTGGGTTTCAAAGTTGCTTCCGATTGGGTAAATGCGGGAGTATGAGTAATTACAAATAATGCCGCTCTGCCGGGAGGAGCGGAGTGGAAGGCGGAGGGCTTTATAGATGGAGGAGTACGAGTTCGGGTGGGTGTCGAACACATCTGCCCAAAACACCCCCAGGACTTTCAGAACGAAGCAAATGCGAAAAACACAAGGAGAGGCCTGGAATAAATGGATGATGGTGGGTTGAGGTAGGGGACTGGGATTGTCTATCTTGTGGATACTCTTACGCCACCGCAAAGCTCCTTCGGAGAACACGCTTTCACACCCTGGTTAGAAGCCCAAACAGGAAGCCAAGAAACACGCAGAAAGTTGCCAAGAACAAGCAAAGTCATCACACCAGTATTAGAAACTGGATCCAGTAAAAGCAAAGTTGGGTCTTTAAAATTATTTAAGGTTAGGAACTATTAAAAGTCAAATAAAAACTTGACAGAATCTCTAGTTTTTGCATAGACCAAATTGAACTCCTTACATTATGGAAATCATCATTATAAAATTGGAAAATAATAAAAAACAAACATTTTTATTATGTTTTTTCCCCAAATTTGTAACCTCACAACTCAGTACATCACATTGCAACCTGGCAACTCTTTTTTCAGCCCTGGGGCAATGCAGCATTGCCATTAATTATGCAAATTAAACTTGATGCGTGTCGCCGAAGAATTATGGGCTCAGCTTTTGCCCGAGGCTTCCAGACTCTCTACTCCTCTCTTTCTGGGCTCTTCCCCTCCTTTCTTCCTTCTTTAAACACATGCCATCGTGTGCTGCGTCTTCCTCTTCTTTTTATTATTATTTTTTTCGTTATGCATTGGTCATTAAAATTAGGTCAGAGCCGAATGGAACACAAAGCGAAATCCTTGAGAATTATAAAGCAGCGATGACAACAACAACAAACTAGTTCAGCTCTCCTTTGTTCTCCTTCTTCACCTGGGTTCCTTCGATCCTTTTAGCTAGAACAACAAACAACCCATATACGATCTTATTACGCAATGGCTGCCGATCTGCCTACCTGACTGACTTAATTATTATATCAGAACCCTCTTTTCTTCCTCCCTTCATCCCGGCAGGTCGAAAAAAGGAAGAAAAAAGTGGAAACTGCGCAGTTTGACTCGAAAATAAGTGGAATTGGACCTTGACTTTGCACCACAGCTCCTAAAAGAATAGAACCCAGTATAGTGTCAGGATCCCGAGTCCTATAAGAAATCCTCATCTGGTTCCGTAACCCCCTTCCCACTCCGTTTTTCACTTTCCATTCCACACGTGCCCTTGTTTTGCCGTTTCTACCGCTTCTTCTTGTTCGATTTCGCATACTTTTTTTGCAACACGCGCAGCGGGAATTTTGATATAAAAAGGGAGTCAAAAAGAGGGAATGAGAGGAGAGGGACAGGACAATACATAAAAGCTGGCGAGGATACAATAAAAAAGGCTCTACGTTTGGAATTATACTTCGGCTTGGCAGTGAAATTAATACCCTTTTTTGAGGTAACTAGGGAACTTTTAAGTACTTCTAGGTATAGCATTCTTAAATAATTTACAGGCTTTATAAGACTATTATTTGGGTATAATTATGATAATACCAAAACTATTTCAAATTTTCGTATCTTTCAACTGGATTTTTTATAAACTTTTGGTTTAAATTTGATTTAGAGATTTTTATTATTAGCCAACTAACTTTAAAATGTTCCATTTTCGAATTCCTGATCATATGTAGAAGAATTATATTAAAACCATAAACATATCTGATTTTTATCATTTTATTTAATAATTTCTCAGTTTTTATAGCATAAAATTATTGGGTTTCCGACTAAACTGTATGGGTTTATTGGTAAATTCAAAGCTTTTATCAATGAAGGGTACCTCCAATTCGATAATCCCGAATTCTACATTCCTTCTCTTCTTGTTTTTTGTGTCTTCTGCTGCTTGTGTGTTTTTTAATGCCTCTTTTATTGCCGGCATTCGCATGCATTGTGTTCGTATATTTGTCAGTTTGTGTGTGCCAACATATAGGGGATTATGTACAAACATACAAATAAAATAGAATCGCAATCGGTGGAGTGCGAGAGAGAGAGCTAGTTCCGCTAGAAAGAGATAGCAAGCATTTCCACTTCCACTGGAATTAAGAGATTAGCCAAGGAAAGCAAAAGTGCGCTGCGAATTCCCGAAAGTCGGCAACTCTGTTTTCATTTTGTTTACTTTGCCGGTTTTTGCACAAACACCAGTGCACTTTTATTACGTGTACGTTTACGTTACGTGTTGCGGTTGCGTTCGAACGACAATGTCAAACGTGTATGAGCAACAATGTTGCTAAGCATTGTTTTGTTTCGCAACATCGTTGTTCATACACGTTTGATGTTCGACGTTACTTCACATTAATTTTTTTTACCAAAAAAATACATACTTTCCCTGATAAAAAGTGAATTACAGGAAAAAAACTTGTATGTAATATTTAGTTTAACACTACATGTTTTCATTTGGAAATATTTTAATTAAGTGGAAAATGTTATAAAACAAATTGTAACCATTTTCTAGATAAATAAAAAATAATTGTATATTAAAATAAAAGTGTAAAGTCCTTAAATAAATAAAACAATTTATTATATATTCAATTCAATGTTTTCTTATTTTAAATTTATCAAAAAGAGCTTTGACTGATGATTGCCAACGAAAGTGAATTTGGGCGAATATTCGAGAGGATGGAAATTAAACAGTTCTTTTAATAATTTGTATTTATTAAAACGGAGATTAAAAAGGTAAATACATTTTTAAAAAAACAAGTATTAAATGATAAAAAAATACTTATTTGTGTGTATATTTTAAAGATATCTAGGCTTCCTATAAATTAGCAAATAAGAATGTTCTTATTTAAAGTCTTAGTTATTTTCGGATGAAAAATTTAAAAATAAGTTCCAAAGAAAGCTTCAAAATATGTAGTTTAATTTCATTTCATTTTAAAAATCCGTTTAAAAAATATCCTATTAACTTGTTAAATTATAATGAAAAGTTCTTTATGTACACGTGATTATTCTATGACTAGTTTTAAATTCGGTAAGTTTTCCTGCTAAAATTTCATTAAATTATGTCCTTAAGATTTATCTATTTTCCGGTTGCCCCCAATAACACCCCACCCCCGTTTTCCCACCCCTTTCCACCATTTTCCCCCACCATTTCCCTTTTTAGCGCCAAAATCTGTTGAGTTTTCCGCCGAATGAAAAGCGAGCGGTTGGCGGCGGTGGTGGAAAGTGAAAACCAGCCAACCACCACCCACCAACCCCCAAAAAGCCGGCGACGGGCGGAAAAGCGGGAAAAAGAGGGAAACTCCAACTTCGCTGCCAATGCCAAGCAGCGACGCCGGCAGCGCAGTCGCCGCGCGGTCTGGCGTCGACGGCGACGGCGGTTCGAACGCAACGGACAAACACGAAAGGCGAAACGGAAAACAGTTTGAATTTCGCTTTCGAACTGGTTGGTTGTGTTTTTTGGCTTCTCTCTGCGTGCGCCGTTCGTGGAAAACACTGAAAAACTTTGAAACCGAAGAGGAGAAGAGGAAAACTCCAGTTTGTATTTATCCTTGTCCTGTGTACAGAAAACCAATCGGAAGTTTTACAACCAAGCTCAAGTCCCGCGATTTTCCTCCTTGTTTTTCCTTTCTGTTTTGCCGGCAAAAACAAAAAGCGGCAAAGGAGAGGCAACAAAAACAAACGCAGAAGGCGAAGCAAAATGTGAAAAATTGCCGAACATGGCGCCGCGTGTGTGACAGAGACAGAACGAACGTGTGAGAGGGAGACAGAGATCGAAGATAAACAATAGAAACAATTTTTGATACTTAACGTTCTACAACAACAATAAACTCAGCTCAGGTACAACAAAAAACTAAAAAACAGACTGCATAAACGGGAATTTTTCGAAGTATTTTTGATACACACAGAAGGAGGTGTACGATTTTAAAAGCAATAAAAAAGCAATCACCAAGTTTAAAAAATAAAACCATCTTGAAAAAACCCACTCGCAAAACCAAGCAATTTAAAAAACAATCTAAAAAGTCGATGACAAAATAAGCATTTACAATATACAACCTAAAAAGTAATTCCAAAAAATTAAATCTTAAAAACCGGAAAATTGACAAAATAATATCCTACTAAAATTTCGTAAAAACAGACTTTTGTCTGCCCATACCCACTTTTCTACACAAAATTTACAAAAGTCCTCTGAAAACCCTAAAAATATTTTCAAACAGCCAATGAAAATCGGTAAATAATCTCGCAAACTCGCTGGAAATACCCAAAAATCGGTTTAAAAATACTCTGAAATCGGTTCAAAAATAAAACACTGGAGGCATTCAATAAATATACACCGCAAGCATTTATGGGCCACAAATCACAGCATAAATTCCCGAGTAGAATCAACAAGCAATATTTTCAAATATAAAATGGTCGAAAAAATGCTTATCCGAAATAGAGATTGAGGAGGATATTTTTCGAGGCAGCCAGTCCACCAAATTAATTTAACGCAGAAAGTGCACATTTAGAGAGCAAAGAAAAAATATAAATTTATGGCTCCGCGTCGCAACAGCAACATCAGCAGCAGCGGCAACAGCAGCACCCAGCAGCAGCAGCAGCAGCACCAGCAACAGTTGCAGCAGCAACACCAGACGCAGCAGCAGCAACTGCTGCAGTTCTACGCGGAGAACGCGAATTCTTCAGGCGTTCTGATGGCGCCCATGCAGGGATCCGGGGGCGTTGGGGGCGTGGTGCGCTGCTGCCTGCCCAGCGGAGACTGCCGCAAACTGGACTCCCTGATACCGCTGAACGAACTGGCCCTGGCCGACTGCATCCGGGTGCTCTGCAACAACGAGAACTGCAGTGCAGGGCAGTACATGCACCGCGAGTGCTTCGAGCTGTGGGAGGCGGGCGTGCTGCAGACCCTCAAGGCCAACGGCAGGGCCCGCTCCTGGTCGGAGAGGCAGCGGCTCCAGCACCTGTGGACCAAGAAGGGCTACGAGCTGGTCCACAAGGCCTGCAGCTGCAAGTGCGGCCGCGGACAGCTGCGCAAGGATCTCGAGTGGGTGGCCCCCACCAACCAGGGTGTTCTGTACCTCAATGGATCTGGCAATCGGGGATCCAATGGCCTGAATGGCAACCTCAGCGAGGACGACGACAAGAAGAAGGCCAAGAAGAAGCGGAATCGCAATGGCAATGGCAACTCCAAAGCGCCCTTGAGCCAGAATAATGGCAATAGTTACGGCGGACTGACGCCCAATCCGAATGTGGGCGTCATAGGGTCGGGTTTGCCCCACAACAGTGGCAACACCACCGGCAACAATGGCAATGCCGGCAACAACGGCTCTTCGGATCTGCTGCAGCCCAGTGTGGTGGCCACTCTGAGCAACATCCTGAATCCCAACAATGTCCTCGGCCTGGACTTGAGGGCCAGGGCTGGCAGTCTGTCCTCCAGTGGAGCTGGCAGCGGTTCCACCTCGCCATCGGCCTCCCAATCCAGTGGCGAGATCCCCGTGTCGCCTGTGCAGCAATTGAAGCAAACGCTGTTGATGCAACCCGTGGGTTTTCTGCAGAACGGCCTGGGTTTGTCCAAGAACCTCCTAATTGCTCCCCAGCAGCAGCAGCAGCAACAGAATAATCTGCCTGCTTTGGCCAATATCAGCAACTTTAAGCCCTTGGCCAGCTATGAACAGCAGCAACTTGTGCAGCAGCAGAAGAACAAGGAGGTCGAACTCTATTCCGAGCGAGTGCGGTAAGTTTACATTAAAATATTTTAAAAAACAGTAAAAAAATGTTATGAAAATAGTCTAGTACAAGCCAAATGCTACGGTTTCAAGCGGAGAACGCGAATTCTTCAGGCAAAAATTAAAATTATTCTTGTCCCTTAACTTAAAACCTTGGTTACCCTAAGAATCCGTAAATTCATATCCATATAATCGTTACTATGAAAATTTTATAGTATTAGAACGCAATTCTTCGGGCGGCAAGCCTAAATAATTATTTTCCCCAAACTTAAAACCTTCTTTAACTTGTTTTAACAAAGCAATAGACGAGGAAGTTCGAAATATGTGTGGCGAAATTCCCCAACATGTGTTTTGGAGCACATCAGCAATTTCAATATTTATTCACAAAACTTTTATCAATTACACTAAACGACTAGAACAGCCCAGGGCCAAAAAGTTCTTCAAATTAGTTTTGTAGCTATCATTCTATTTTAGCTCATAAAGGCTAAAGCAATTACAACTCAGGAGAATGGTTAATCAATTTCTTTTAATATTTGTGGGCCTATTTTATTTGCGATAATAAAATTTGATTATTAATCATACGAGGTATATGCCAAGCTCTCCATTTTCTTCAGTCATTTCTAGCTAAAAATCCATGTGGCAAGAAATATTATCAAAAAATTCCAATTCCCGATATCAGATTGATGTTCTGGGTTCCTTTATCGTGTTGCACAGTGTTATCAACAATTGACGCGATTGTTTGCCCGTTTTTCGTTCGTTTGCCGGCTCCATAGCTTATATAACCTTGATGGCCGAACAGCTGCAAAATACAGACAATATTTGCAGAAATATTAAATAAAATACGCTTGTTTATCTGCGAAATTTGCGAATATTTTCTTTTTAAGGAAGTTGATGATTTTTATCTTTTCAGCAGATACAAAAAGAGAGATAATTTGCATTATAAATATTCCCCCTACTTTCGATCTTACACGAGTTTCACTTTTATCGGAATCTTCTCTCGCTTTTATTTATTTTTTGTTTGTTGCTTTGGGTCAAGGCTTCTTGTATCTTCAGCCATTCCTGTATCTTTTGCCCAGAATTCTTATCCATAAATCATAAGAAATGAAAAATTATTGAAATTTATTTGCTGCCACATAGCAACAGACATTTATCGTATGGTATGTTTTCCACATGTGTTATTTTATTTATTTTATGCCCAATTTTAATATTTCCGTTTCCAAGAGCAACTGAAAAATATTATTTATTCCAGAGCGATCAAAAAACATTATAACGAAAGAGCCAAGAGAAACAGTAAGAGAAAAACACGAAAAAGAATTGGATCGCTTTTTGTAGGTTTTGTTATTGTTGTTTTGAACGCGATCTTCAGGTTTTTAGAATCGCAATCTCAACCCCTCACCCTCTGTCCGTCTCTTTCACTCGGTGTATGGCCCTCTCTTTCTAAGCTGAGAACTTTGTTTTGCCTTCTATGGCATAATTCCATTCATTCTTCTGCTTTTCGCTCTCTATCTTTCTCCTCGTTTTCTGTTTTTGCCCACTTTTCAAGGCCACTATGTTTGCCTTATTTTTTTGTGTGTTTTTATACCCTTTAAGAGGGTATTATTATTTTTTAAGGAGTTTATAATCAGGTTATAAGTTACTAGTTACAAAGGTTAAGAATTTTGGAATATGACATGTTTTTATTTGTGTGAAAGAATTTTCCTAATGTTTCCAACTAAAGTATTTTAAAGATGTGTACCATATCCCCAAGATAAGTGATATATTTGGTTTTACTTTTACTATGAGGGAGAATAACTTTCGGTTTTAATAATTTTCCTGTTTTTAAACATTTTTGAGTTATATTTTTCTCTCTTGTCCCCCTAAGACTGCATTTTTGCTTATCAGCACTTTTTTTTTGATGATTTGCGTTTAATTCAAAAAGAAACGTACATAAAATTGTTTATCGCCTTTCGTTTTTTTGTTTCCATTTTTTATTTCTTGTTTTGTTTGTATTTACTGGCGTTTATTTTTAGCGCCACACGCGGCCCATTTTTATTTTATTTAATTTTTGCTCAGTACTTTTGATTGTTATTGTTGCTGTTGTCCACGGTAAACAAACTTTGCTGATTCAAAAGGTGAGCAAAAAAGAAGAAAGTCACAAAAAAGTTCTGACATTTCCCTTTAAATTCGCCGTTTCTGTTTAATGAATGAATGTGCTTGGCTCTCCCTCTCTCGCTCACGCTCTTTTAACTTGTTTTGTCTGCCGGCATATTTGTGTTTTCCTCTTTTTTTGTATTTGGCGTCCAATGTCAAGGTTAAGACACATTTTATGTATTCATTTTCGGTGGGTGGATGAGGCGGAAGTCTGTTTGTTTTCGTGCCGCTTCCAGATTCCCAACTTTTTTGCAGAAAAGCTCTTCCTGTTTACCTCTCTCTTTCTCTCTCGCCGCCTTCTGCAAATAATTTCCCAATTCGTAGGCCCAAAACTCTCACGTGGGCGTAGCATTACGCCCCCTTATTACTTGTAATTTTCACCCCATCTCCAAAATAATGGCGCAATACTTTCCCGAACATTCCGTACAAAATATAGCGGGCACAACTGCAAATAAATTGCGAAAGGCACGCCGAGAATAGAAACACTACAACGAATTGCAACTACAGGCTATAAAAACAAAGTAGCAACAAAGTCAGCGTCTTGAATTTGCATACCAAACGCAACGGGGGGTCTAAAGGGTGTGACTAGTTGGATGTTTCAGATGTAACGGGTAAATAATGGGTATATGGGGAGAGAAGGGTTATTGAAATATTGTTTTGAACCATTATATCGCTTTTAAGTCACGATATGATACTATGATTTGGTATGATATGATAGGGGGATATAGTAATATCCAAATTTTTCTTATGGGTTCCTGTTTATCAAGTCATAATACACTTTCCGGCCAAGTTTCATATCCCCAGCACTATAACATCAGAATTTGAGGTATTCCCTCAGTCGACACCCGAACCACTCGCCTTATATTTGTTGTTCAGATCGTCAGACAATATGCCAATCCCCCTTCATTCCGAGTGCGGTGATATGGTGTGAAAAACAAAACTATAACGAAAATTAACAACTTTCGCACGACTTTTGTAGTTGTGACTACGGCTACGAAAGTGAGACAGCAATAGACCGGAAGATTTAGAGAGGGAGAAAGAGGTGGCGATATTCCATATCGGTGCATAGTTTATCTTTGAGACCCGCGGGTTCTGTATTCCGTAGTAAAAATGAGTGAATTATAGTCGTGAGGGGGCGGCATAGCGAAAATTTCATTTAAATTCTGTTTTTGTTTTTCTCGTTAGTTTTCCCTCGCCCCACTCGGTTTTCTTACCCCCCTCGGCTTTGTGCTAATTGAGCACGTTCCAAAAACTGTCGTCTAGACTTGAAGCATAAATTTCTGCACTGTAAAATTTTTATTAACGCGGAACCCCATTACACCATCCATATCGATGACGATTGTTGTTTGTTTTCGTCGATGGAAGGCGGGAGCTTAGCGCATTGGAATAGGTTCTGGCGGTTTTCTGTTTATATGTTTCAGTATACTCTGTGTGAGGTTAGGTTTCACTTTTCGCTGGGCGATGATAAATAAACAAAAGACGGGGGCAGCCGAGCATGAAATGAAATGGTGCGACTTGGATCTCGATGGCTATACATCGTATGCACAGAAAAAAATTTAAATTTTTTGGGATCTCTAAAATGGGAAGGTTTATTAAAAGCGTGGATGATATATCATGGGAAAAAGCTCCATGATATCTGGCAAATTTGGTATGTAATCTATTATTTAGAACTAGAAATTAAATCTTTACATTTTCTTAATGTGTAGCTAATGTGTTTTACATAGAGGGTCCATAAAAGACCTTCGAGGGGATGGGGAAACAGCAATTAACGACCTTTTTTTGGGCAGTCAAATTGAGGAAACATTAAAAAGAGCGCCACATCAGACACGTTTTGTTCTTTTAAAGCTTTGTTGCGGACACGCTGAGTGGTTTCATCACAACGGGTGACCACTGTGGCAGACTCCCCCACAAAATTTGTAACCGCAACCAAATCTGCAAAACCATTTGCAAATTAAAGCGCATAACGATGTGTGGGCAGAAAGAGAAATGTCGGAGAAATGGAGGAAGCCTGGGGAAAAGGAGCGGTTCGCAAAAGGGAGTCGAGGGAATCGGGGGAACTACACTCACCTTTTGTTGAATATCAAATCAAGTATGCATTGCTTACTCGTTTTCCACTTGGTCCTCCGCCCTCACAACCACAAAAGCTATTAATGAAATCTTTGCCAAAACGATACGCACACTGAAACTTAAATAAACATATGCACATCGAGGTAACGAGTACAGTGGTTGCTGCCAGTTTTGACACAAGATTCAGGATTTAATGAAGATCTTACAGAAGAGTACTGTGTGTTTGCAGAGAAATATTCCATTTCCATAGGTTAGGCATGTGGTGACCACTTCTTCATATTACTATTTAAACTGCAGTCTTTTGGTCCTAACAATTTCCCTTACTTTCGAATACAAAATAAATAGGTAAAGGTATTCGGTTCAATTCCCTAGTACTTCGATTTGCATATCTAACCACTGTATCTGGTGCATTGCAGCAGTACCGCACACCCACACATTCTATGGGCGCCTATCGAACGGCGCATGACTCCACGGCGGAAAGTTCCCTCGACGTCATTATTGTCGTATTTTCATTGCCAACAGACAATGCCAGGGCAACTCCATCTCCGCCTCTTCCTATTTCCCTGGAACCTCCTCCTGTATTTACCACCCACATCCGTATCCACATCCATCTATATGTACAGACATGTGTGCGGCTCCATCCGCAGGCTTTTTGCCAACTTTAAAGGCTTCGTTGGCTCAGCAGTTTCCGTCCCTCTCCGCTACCTTCTGTCTCACTCTCGTATGCAGAACTTAAATCTACACGGAAAATAATTGGATTTTCCATTAAATTTTGTTAGGCTGCTAGAACTGAAAAGAAAAGATATTTCAG